AAGTTGGCAAGCAATCACTAAGAAAGAAAAGTAAGTAACTTGGATTATACAATCACTTACAAGTTAAAATATTTACCTGAAGTTGGAAAAGCATCTTCACCAATAAAGAGGAAAGGAGAGGCAATTATCTATTAAATTAAAAGCTTTCCGAAACCCTCAAATGTTCATCCTTGTTTCCGAACAATATTCTGAATAATTGCAGTTTGTTTCTGGCAACTATCATGAACCTCCTGAGAATAAGAATTCTATACTAATCACTTCTACTTTTAGTCAGGGATATTAAAAAGAGTAAGTGGAGAAATAATGTGTAAAAAATGGTTTGGGAACTAATTACTTATCCCACTAGGTTTGTTCCACTTTGATTTATTCTTTCTAAAGCAGATTACCCCTTTCAGATATGAGATATTAATGTGGGCTATGTGAAGCAGAAGTACTGAGAAAGACTACAATCATCTGCTCTGAACCAACCCATTCATGTTACTAAAATGACACATGAAGTACTCATGTGCAGTATTTACTTAACTTTCTTCCAACCTTTTTGTGAACTTTGCTTTTCAAAAGGGATGTTTTGTAGTTTTAAGAAGTTGCTTGAGAATATGCTATCCCTTTGAATTTCTAAATATAACAAAATCTCAAATTAAGTATTTGATATCCACAAAGGAGAAATAGAGCCAATTCTATTTAGATATTTTCCCTCTCAAGGATTGTTGTCACAGCAGTTTCTTTGCCAGATTTGTTGTAAATTACTGTTGTCTGAAACTAGGTTGTCCATCTGTTTTTATCATTTTCTCTGCTTCTTGGGTTTGAAAGCTGGCTGACCTTTGATAAGAAGCTCTCTCCTTATATCTGGTGCTACTTTCAGAGCCTGGAATCAAAACACTCCATTGCCTCTATGTTATACTATGCGATCCATACCTGTTCCTAGCCTTCCACAAGGACAAGGTAGTGACCTGATAAGTGATGGGAGGAAATTAAAGATGAACACGGGCAGACAATTATTTTAATCATTTATGCATTCAGATAATTATGTCCTAATTATGTTGTTAGTACTATTACCGAGAAAACAAACTGTAATAAACATGGCTCCTTCTTTCAAAGGATTTATACTCTGGTAGAGGAGATAAGACATTCACACAAATAAATAACTCTGATAGAAATGGAAAATAAGTGAAAATAGAGTTCGAAATACAGGCATCCAGAAGGGAAGGAAGTTGATTCACTTTGTTATTAGTGTTATGAGTTCGTTGGGTCCAAGACTAAAAAACAACCAACATCTTGCCTCATCTCCTTCATCTCCAGTGTGTTCGCACTGCCCACCGGACAATGGTAATCCACCATAGCCATCACAACTTGAGCGTCTTAGCAGAACTTTAAAATGACTGTGTCCAAAACCAAACACTGGTTCCCTCGGCCACCTCCTACCTTTCTTCACCTCTACCCCCAAGCCATTGGCCTAGTTCTAGGGTCCAAACAGCCCTTCTTTACATTTCGGATACCTTCCCTTTCATCACCAAATAAACAAAATGTAAAATGACACATTTTTTATTTCTTTAAAGCTTTTTTCAGTACCTTCTTTTCATTTTATTGACAGACTTTCCAACTTGCAATAGTGCTCAAACTAATTTCTTTAACTTCTGTCTCCCCTGACTTCCATAGTCTAATCTACGCAGTCTAACTCCAACAATCTATGTAAACAGTCTCCAAGAGTGTAACTATATACCACTGACAGATTGACTTTCCCAACTTACAGCCCCAGTCATGTAATTTCCGTGTTCAAAAACATGTACAGGCTCTAAACTAATTAACAATATCAGTTGATATTACTTTTATTTTTATTTTTGGTGATCTTGGGGTGTTAACCTGGAGCCTACACACATTAAGCATGTACTCTGCCACTGAGCCCAGCAATATGAATGGATATTTCTCATCCTGATATTCAATATCCCCCAATACTGTAACTCCAGCTTTATTTCCTATTATTTAACCATGTCCAACATGTGGCTTCCTTACATTTCTAGACTGGAATGCACTAATATTTCAGTGCTCACACTCAAGAGAATCTATTTGTCTTGAAACTCCAGATTTTCAAGCTTCAAAGCTCATCATCATTTATACTTGTCTAACATTCCTCGTTCCCAGAACAAGGCAGCCATGAACTTCCCAGACCATTCTTTATTCACCTCTTAAAGTCTACATTGCATCCTCCCTGTCCCACTTTCCAGGAAAAGATTTGTCATCCCGACCTCTGAACACCTGCAGTGCTTAGCATCGTGTTTGCTCAGAGTATGCTCAGTCAATTTTTGTTGGATGTGATTGAATATCCAGTCATTAATAAATGAATTTCTCCAAAAAATCAAATCACTTTTCATATACCAATAAAGTAGTGCCTATTCCTGCCTGCAAATGTCTACAACAATTTGATGTCTCCTGAAATCAATGTCACATTTACAAAGCAAATGGCACTGGAAGACTAAACACATATTGTTTCCAGGGCATGTTTTTTCTTAGCATCCTTCTTTATTTAAGTTCTCTCTGCCTGACAGGCAAAAGCTCATCAATCTTGATTTAAAAGCCTGAGGAGCTGAAAAGCCAGTGTAGGGGTCTGTTCAGTTTTAAACACAATTTAGAAAACCCAGTAAGGAATGACAGTTTCCTTTCAGGAGCCTTCCATACACATTTCAAAGAAACAGCTTTCCAAATTGGACATTGTAAAACATTATACCACCAACCGAGTAATAAATGTCATTCACTACCATGAGGAGATTTCCTTGATTTTGACAAAAAGCACAAAAGCCTATATTGTATTTTTTAAGTCTGAGTCTGACAAAAAACATCAGAAAGGAAAAGTGCTCAATTTTGCTAAAAGATTATTATTTAGAAATAAATTATTATGCAAAAAAGGCATAGATTTGCTGACAACCTGTGAATTTCCAGCAGAGGAAATGTCTCCCTCACACGCCTGGTAATCAACTGCTGATGAAATGTGTTAATCCCTCGGAGTTCAGGGAACACAAGAGGCACTCACATTTACGTGTTCCTGGTACAGGCGTTAAGGAAAGAACCTACCAGCTCATCTCAGGAAACGCTTCATTTCCTGTGCCAGTCTGGGAAGGAAACTTGAACCAGGCAGATCCAGGTGTGACAAAGTCACCCGGCGGATGGGAAATTCACCTCCCGCTCCTGCAGACATGCACGGATGGCTGCTTCACGCTCCTGGGCTGTAATTTCCTTTTCTAAGATGAGTGCAGCAGTTTGTATTTTTATTAGCATTACTTTTCACCCATACTGGCCTTAAGTTAACAAGTGGGCTTATTCGCAGAAGTTGAAGGAGACAGTTACATAACTGTCTCCCCCATTCAATGGGAAGCTCTTCCAGGGGCTGACAGTTCATTAGAAGACGGTGCTGGTGAAGAAAGACTAGGAGGCTGCTGTCTTCCCAAGATACCCGTAGTGGAAACCATCTGCCAGGCCCCTGTGACATCCTCATCGCCTTCAGACTCCCTCCAGCTGGGGTTCGGGACACCACCCTGCCCCATTCTGCTGTGTAAGGAAGCTGCGATGTAGAGGGATTCACCTAGGCTGCTCTCTGGCACCTATGGACCAGAATGGCCACCCGCTACCTGGAGCTTCTGAACCTAGAGGAACACATTGTCCCTTGTGAGTGGGTTTTGCAGGGTATGGGCTCTTATCAACCTTTGCCATGCAGACTGAGCAGCTCCTCGCCAGCTAGCCCCTTGATTTCTACAACACCTCGTAGACAGTCTCCATTTTAAAAGTCACAGTCTTAGTCTGGCCTCAAAACCTGGTGCACCCCAACCTCAGGGAACCCAAGTTGTGTGTGAACCAAGGGTAGATGATGTTGAAGTGTTTGGGGACCTGTCCTAAATTTATGGAGCTACTGTGAAAAATTACTGGGAAAGAGTTGCTCAAGGTGGTGTGTGCCTATTTTGTCCTACCATGTCGCTGGAAATTAGAATGTTTTTAGGAAGAAAACTTTTGAAAAGAACATAAACAACATAAAATTAGAACTGAGATTTTTTGGTTCCCCCTCAGGGCTTCTCAGAATAAAAAATCAATCTTTCCCATGGTATTCTTTTGTGATCGTTTGTACTTCGGTTCTCACACTTATTAAATCTGTCTTATATTATGATCACTTGTTTATTTTTCCCACTGTGGGCAAGGACAACATCTTACTTGTTTTTTTATTCCTTTCACTGCCACAGAGTGGGGGCCTAACATGTACTGATTAAATTTAATTTTTGAGTTTGAATAACTCAGGAAGGCTTAGAATTCAGATGCGATCATTTCTTGCACTTGATCATTTATATAGTCAGGGCTTATGTAGGATCACGTATATCCTTTACCTAAGTTTCTTACCCTGTAATCAATGGTAGGGCTTTTATGTCTACAAATTCCTGAAATGTTATCAAAATATGCTGTGTACATATTCAGATAAGAGCATATTTCTGCAACAAGTCTATAAACTGTAATCAAATGACTTTCTAATTAGCCACCCCACTGGACACTGAGATTTGTGTCCAGGACAGTTTCTCCCAACCTCCTGATCTCTCAGAGCCCCCAAATATTGGAGACCACAGCAGATGAGCAGGCAGGAGCAATGCACATTTCCATTACAAGCCATCAGCCCTGCACAACAATCTCATTATTTCTGGACTTCTGTCTAAAAGGAAGACATTTTTGAGAAAGAGTACTTTTTCAGCCAACATTCTATCCCCAGATTTCACTTTCTGAAAAGGGCCCTGTGAGTTTCCTGGGCCTCCATGATCCCACAGGAGGCTCAAGGCTGTTGCTCCAGTGGCCATTCCCTTAGGGGAGATGAAAAGGTCCCTCCATGGAGCTGTCCCCTTGCCCTCCAGCCTATTGCCCACGTGCTCAATCCACCAGTTTCAGAGCAAGCTCCCTGAAGGTAAACTGAGGCTAAAAGCCCCCTCAGAGTTGTTTGTCACATTCCCCATCACAAGGAAAAGAGAAAATGGTACCTGTGACATCGCCGTGGCAGAGGCCAGAGAGCAGGAGCAGGAGCGTGGTGGCCGCTGGAATTCGAGTCATGGTGTTGGGGGTCGCAAGGCTCCTCTGCAGCCGAGGCAGGGAAGGCTCCCTCCCGCCGAGGCCCTGCAGCAAGTGGAGAAGGTGTAGGGAGCCCCAGAGCCCCTGCCCGGCCCTACTTATTTTGGGGACTCTGATAAAGAACGGGAGGAAACACACGCACTCCCTCAGGGAGTTCAGCAGAGAGATTTATTGTTTCAGTCCCTTACAGGAACTCTTTTTTTTCCTCTCTCCTTTCCCTTGGCAGCCACTTGTGTTTTTGTTACTGCATTATTTTGTTCTTCTTCAACAAAAAGGTCAGGATGGGTTTTGGGCAGAAATGGAGCTTTCTTCTCGGGGGCACCAGGGAGCTTTCTAACTTTTGTTTTGAAAGAGCACGTTGGAGTGGTTTTTGGGACCTCATTAGGCAGCTACTCATTAGCTACTCAGTTTAGATAAAAAACAACAAGATGCCATAATGTCCCAAGAGCTCAACTTTAGAGCAGAATCCAGAAAGAATCTACTTGTCTCCTCTCTCTCCAACCCGAGAGGAGGCTGGTGCAGACCCCCGCAGACTGCTTTCTGGAGACAGGCAGAGCCTCGTTAGAGGTCACGCTGGCCTTAGGTACCTTGGGTAAGAAGCAGCTTCCTGTGGGCTGCAGAAAGCTTAGCCAAGTGTCGCTGGTAGAACAAAGCAAGGCTCTGGGGGTGTCCCCTGTTCGGGGGGAGGGCTGAGCCTTGATGAGGAGTGAGGACAATGGCTGTAAACCCTCATGGGCCAGGGGCTGGGGTTGGAATGAATTGCAGCAAACCAGCGGGGCAGGGAGAGGATTCCAGCAGGCGGGCAACCGTGCCCAGGGGCCTCTCCAGTGCTCATGATGACGGCTGCCACCTGGTCACAGCACCGCTCAGCCTTGGACACTGCCCTGGTAGGACGGTCCAGCCACCTTTCCCCAGTCACAGGCTGATGTCCACTCCCAGCCCTTCTGTGAGTCTCCAGAGATGGATGTGGGTGCATCAGCGGGGTCCACCCACCACATGCAGGAAACTACTCACGGTCGCCTTCCCTGTCGGGAGGAGGGCACCCTCCCCCAGGGCTGGACCTGCTGGGAGGACTCCGAGCAGAATGCCCAGAGCAACCACCTGCTCCCAGCACCTGGCACAGTTCCTTCAGCCTGAGACATGCCAGGCCTCAGAGGAGCTGTGCTTCTGCTCTGTGATGCCCAGGCTTCATCCTACCCTCTCCAGTGATTCTCTAAAGCAAGCCCCTGTGGGGTTGTGACCGGAAACACAAAGTGGCAGCATGTGTGGGGGAGGTCACAGGATTCCTCCGAAGTCATTCGAGCTTAGCTTGTGGAGCACCCCACACAGGAGGCCCCATTCCTTCTCCTCATGTCCCCTGATTCTGCAGGCATCAGCACACAGCATCACAAAAGACCCTGGTTATAGCCATTCCTACGGGGCCTGATGGCCTTGGGTCTCTGAACCCGGACTGCAGTGCATTTACTGGATCCCCAGTCCAGGACGGTTTCATCCTAAGTGTGTAGGCTACTCAAAGACGGGAGCTGTAGATGGAAAGGAGAAAGAATGGAGAAGACAGGGACATGAAGCAAATCCACATTAAAGTGGTTAAGGAAACAAAAAAGGAAAATGGAAGCAACAAAGACTGGTTAGCTTTGTCTTACTAGATCAGAAAGGATCCTTGAGGTAAAATATGTAATTAAAGCAATGATGATGTCCAGAAAACAGAGATCAATAGCACAGAAAGTATAGACATAAAATATACATTATATATTTATATAGAAGCTGAGGCTGAGAGCACCCGCATAGTTCTATAAATAAATATTTATATAATAGATACAAAATACCTATGTACCTAATATATACATATATTTTTCTTATTCTTTAGAAGATTAAGTGAGGGTCCAGAGGGTCTTTAAGACCGTATATTGAAACTAAAAGGAAAAACCAATAAACAAACACAAACACAAAACAATAACAAAGACTGAGGTTCACTTCCAGCATCTCGAGCTGGAGCGAGCACTCGGTGGGTTCCAGGCTGTCCGGGTTTTGTGTGAACCCTCTCATGCCAACGTGGCTCCCAGACTCATTCCAGGAATCAAGAAACTGCTGCAGGCTTCTTCCTTGTCTTCTCCTCTTCCAGGGTTGTGACTTTCAGCCCCATGCTGCCTCCAGGCAGCTGGGTTGGGCCGCACAACTGGGTGCTGTCTCCATGGGGGTCTGCAGGCCCGTGGGAGAATCGAGATGCTGGGTTCCTCACTCCACACCTGGCTCAGTCACAAGAGGCTGAGCTCCTACTCAGACTCCTCTGGCTGAACGCCATGTCTCAGGGCCAAAGCAGGACCCTGGGACTGGTTCTGGCCCAAGCTTTCAGCAGAGGTCAGTGTTTCACTCATGGACACTGCACTGAAGAACAGCCGGTCCTTCCCGTTCTCCATCCCCTCTCTCCATCCCATCAGGGTGGCAGCAGAGCAGCTTCCCACCTCCTCAGTTCTGTGCATGCCTTGAAGTCTGCAGGAGCAGCAATGAACAGCCATCATTGGAGCCACAGAGACTCGGTTTATTCCATTACTGAAGCCGAGCACCACCACCCATGGGTGCAGAATTCTGTCCCCTGCTCTTGATACCTTAATTGGGTGGCTTTCGGACAAACTGGTCCACTTTTCACTCGTCATCAGCCTCCTGCCCCAGAGAGCAGAACTTCTGTCTCAACCCCAGATCCCCACAGGTTAGCGTAGTGACTTCACAAAGCTCCCAACTCTGCCAGCGCGGCTGATGTCTCCGCTCCAATCCTGACTGGCCGAAGCTCTTGTATCTGGCCCTGTCCTCCCCTGTCACCTGTGCTACTTCATCCTTCACCGTCAGCAGTGACGAGCAGGTCAGGCCCCCTCATCCCACCGGCGCCCACAGATTGCTGTCTGGCCTCTGATCTCTGTTTCACATCCAGTACCTGATTCTCCAGTCACCGCGTGTTGATGACCTGCCAGCCCTCACTCAATTTCTGGGCAAGCTTGGAATCCCAGGAACTTAGCAGGGTTTTGGCACCATCAGAAGCTGAAAGGGCCAGGAGGTGGGGACACAGGGGTGAGGCCCAGGCTGTCCTCAAGTGGTCATCCTGCTTTTACTGGGAGCGAACAGTCTCAGCTCAGCACTTTCTCTATGTGATGAAAGCACGTAAGGAGCTCTCTAATTCTTAGTTTCTCTCTTCCCACCTGGCATGTTGTAGTCAGTTTTGCATCCATGCAATGAAATGCCCTCCACATGGTCACAGTTTTGGGGGTTTGGGGAGTGGTGCAGATCACTCACTTCTCCACTGAGTCACATCCTGGCAGAGGGTGGAGACAGAGGACAACAGGGCCAGGCTTGCACCCTCTAATGCAGGTCCTCTCCCTTCAGGGGCCATGGCACTGCCCATCATTCCGTGGAACCAAGCCTTCAACACAAGGGACGTTTGAGGGACATGCAGTACATTCCCAAGCTACTGTAGGATGTGACACAGGAAATTTGTGTGTGATCAACCGGAAGCGGTGACACGGCTCATGTTCAATCCTGCTACGGTACACTAGGCTTTTAGTTGACTCATCTATAAAATGATAATGAATGCTCAGTTCTGGAATTATCAAGCTCATAGTATAATTTTGAAAATTGATGGTGATGACTTGAAGGAAAGCATCCTCAAGCCTATTAATTCATTTTTATGTAATTATGTGTCTTTTAAGCTGTCTGAAAAATGAGAAAGTATTTCATAATACAGATAGTTTTAGGAATAGGGTGTTAGTAATTAAGAACATGGCCATTAACAAATTCCTGGCCTTACCAGAATGAAAACAAGTTTACCAAAGTGCAAATCATTCTTCCCCAAACTTCTCAAAATAAATCTTTTCCATTTCATCACCAAATAGAATTGTTTACAAGTGTTTTCAACTTCATTAAACAAACACTGCCTTAATATTTTCCTACCCCATCTATATAACTAAACACAAAAATATCTTGGATGAACAACAAAGCTAGAATCCAACCTGACCCATCCTTCCAAACCCAGCCTTTAGTCAGAGGAAATGACATAGTCTCAGCTCTCTAAGCAGATGAGGGCCACATCTGAGCAGATTTGCAACCATTAGACCCAAACTTTCTGTCTTCTGAGGCTCTGGATTCTGCCTGACACCCTGACTGGCCTGGTGCTGTGCCACTGGTGGCAGTTATACTCACATTTATCCTCAAATCTCAGCATCTGAGTCTGCAGGGATACCTTCAAAACTAGATCTATTTAAACTTCACCCATAAAATGTGGGAATTACAAGGTGGGGGCCAAGTATATATATAGGCAAAAAGCCATTGGTGTGTCTGGTGGTTTCCTTCAGTTAATAATTACTGACTTAGATCATTAAGAAGATTTTTTTAAAATGTGTGCTTGTTACTATTCAAAAGGAAGCTGCTGCACTTGCCGTCAGCATCCACACAGAACTTTGCTTTAGGATTCGATAAATGTGTCTGTGACTCCAAGCAAGCCTTCTCAACATCAGCATATTCAAATTGTTAAAAGCAGCAGCAGTATTTCAAAAACTCACTTTTACAGAATTGTGCCACTTTAAATTAAAATATGAGCTCCATTCCTATGGTCAAACCCATAGCAAATGAAACCTGGCTTGATCCTGCCAAGGGGCAACAAGAATGGTCCATGGGGCAATTAATTATTGTGATTTTGAGCCCTCAAATTCCAAACACTCCAAACAGCCTTTAAAAATGATTTATGCATCCTCTTTTGAATCTCATTGTATTTGCATTTTGACTTGTAGACCAGAAATAAGATGCCTCTAGTTCTCAAAGAAATGGTGATACAGTATACTCAGTGATTTTAGAAGTTTTTCCTTTCTCTCGGCAGTGTTTTTGTGAACATCAAGTTTGACACATGGTGACCAACGTGATTCCATTAGAACATCATTTGATCCAATTATTTAATTATGTCATGATTTATTTCATGAGGTTTAAACAGACTTCTAATCATAAGTTTCCACCCAAGTAGAATTCTTCTCAGAAAAATAATTTGTGGGCCCATGGACACATGTCTCAGCACCTCAGCAATATTTATCCTTTCTCCATGAACAGATTAGCATTTGTTTCTCTAGTGACCAGTCTCTTGAATAGGTTGAGTTTGGTTTAATTCCCCAGATCTGATAAATGTGAGTTTCTGA